TCTTCACTGAGTTACGCAAGCCCCTTTGCCACGACAAGGCAGTGATCCATGAAGGGGATTAATGACATATCCCACAATAAATGGAAGAGTTTTTTAAAATAGTAATGGAACACTATTCATTTTATATCTATAAGAAAATAGTTGTGAGCGATGTGCCTATATATTAGGCTTTATATCTGTACTTTAAAGCTCACTGCATCAGTCAATGCGATACAAGACATAGTCTCATATTTATAGTGTTCAAAATCTGAATACAAATCTCTTTTATGATGTAGATAACATGTGATGGCTGTGATTGCTACCCATAATAATAGAATGGCGGAAATGAGAAAGACAATTGCATTCCATTGAGATTGAAGGTATTATTTAAGTGTGTGTGCCTTCAAGTCAGTTTTTGACTCCTGGTGACTGCCTGGACTAGTCCCTGCAGTTTTAAGTCCCTGAAGTTCTATTATTTAAGTAGACTGCAAGTAATCACATTTTATAAAGTGGAATTAGGCAAAGCACAGTGGATAACACCTGTATCTTGTGAAAACATATTAGGATCTTTGCTGAAAAGAAATAACAAATATTTTGAAACAAAAGTTTCAAAATAATCCTATTTTGAAACTTCTTCAAAAAGATTGGCCCATATTTAGTTTTATTATATATATGAAAAACAGCAGAGATACAAGGAAAGATAGTCTAAAATACAGAACAGAAAAAAAATTCTGATTGCAAATTTATAAATGAATAAATACTACAAATATTCACTTTTCCCAAAAGATTAAGTGCATCTCCTGTCCACAGATTGCTCGTCTCTGCCATAAATCTTGGTTTCTATAAACCATGACAGGGTACACTCTATATTCTAAGCTAAAATTAAACAAGCAGCATTATGTCTTAGTGTGATAAGTGAACCAAGCCACTGTAGTTGGTAAACTATGTTTAGTGTTGTGTTTGAACTTGTGCTTATTCTAGAAACCAAGATTAAAGCAAACCAATCTTGAAATGATGTACAACCCAGTCAGGCTAACTTTAACTTCATTATGTTTAGGCTTAGGCATTTCTTCACCAGTGGTTTACTCCACTTTGTGAGATCACATGGTACAGACCAATCCCAATGTCTGTTTGGGGAGCTGAGTCAGTTTATTTCTGACTCTGCTCCACTTTCTTAGAAAGTACCTTGCTATTTTCCTTTGAACAGCTGTGCTCCACAGACTTTACAGACAATCTGTTTCCCTCTTGGTGGACATCCTTGCCTCATCTCACCTTCTGGAGCTCAAGTAATTTATTAGTATCTCTCTCTCCCCCACTCCCCCCCCACCCCCCAGGATTTCAGCATTATGTTCCTCTGTATATATTGGTTAGAACTGATAATCTGACTGACACATACAAACTTACACTCTTCAGCCATTGTAGCAAGAGTCAACATTGAGCACAATAACACATTGGTTATTGAGGAAACTAGCAAACTACAAAATTGCTGATAGGCTGTTCTTTCACCTTCACAACTCACATGGGCTTTTAAATGTAGCAGAATGATAGCAAACCAGCTGGGAAGCTTTTGGAAAAGATAAAATTTTACTGGTATTTGTTATAAAAACTTTCCTTGCATAACTTATCATCATAGCCCTCCTCAGCCACCAAATTCATGCAGATACATATAGTGGAAAGCATGGAAGGAAAGAGTGCCAGCCCTGTTCCCCCCCCCCCCCCTTTTTTTGGTGTTGTGGGGGGGGTTGTGGGGGGGGGAGATTTTTTTTTTTTTTTTTTTT